TCAAAGCATTTCTTTTTATTCATTTTCGCATGAATCCAGTCGTTTTACATATACATATTTCTGCCAGAGAACCTGCTCAATTCTGTTATATAGCAGCGAAAATGGTTAATTCCGTACTACAATCTTATAAGTTCTGTGAGCCCTCCAATGGAATATCATACAGAATTCAATTTGCACCTTCTCTATGTTTTAAGTTCTCTGATTTCACAGCGTGAATTCGTGGTTGTGAGGTGAATTCCCTATCATAATCCTATAAAATCTTCAACACCGAACCTGCAGCTTCTCTATGTTTATACATTCTCAGCTTTAAGTTCTCTGCTTAATTTATGAATGAACTTCTTGGAATTCTTGTTCGAAGTATAGTTGATTTGCTTATTTTTGTATATTGCATTGCAAAATAACACGAGCAAATAAGCAATATTAATATGAATAAATAGTTATTCTTCTATGTATTTATGCACTAATGTTTCAACAAATTTTTTGTAACATTAAAGCATTAATGTACTGCGGCATGAAGAACATTTCAGTTGGTATCATTCTGTGGTATAATGCTGCGTCCTCTAGCGGGGAATAGCAATAATATAATTCTTTTCTGCGTATAACAGTTGCGTATTAGGGCAATCAGTATTGCTGTAATCGTAATTAGAATAAATGTTGAGGATATACCCATGATAATAAGTTTTCCACCCGGTTCAATGCTAGGAAGAATAAGTAATTGTAAAAATTTTTATTTTTGTATTTATAAAAAAGAAAGAAATTCATAGTAATCTGAAACACATCAGACGATAAAACGAAGATAAAACAAATATAAAAAAATTTAAAAGTCAAACAACCAACGAAACCTGTTTACTTAGGAACGCAATTTGTCAAAATGTTATAAATTGTATGGAAATAAAAATTGAAAGGTATTATAATATTTCCCCGGATCTCCTTGAATTTTTCAGTAGCAGTTGAAAGCAATATTGGGTTTTTGAACATAAGGTTTCGATGGTGTTTAAGGCTTTAAAGAAGAGGCCCGTATATCTAAAAWAATATCAGGTTTAAGATGGTCAGAGCAGGTCGGGATTGCCCYAATTACCGATATAATGGACTGCTTCAATTCAGTCAGATTTCTGAATTTGGTTTTGTACACTTCTTGTTTGATATAATTCCATAAAAAAAGTCTGATGCAGTCAAGTCCAATGACCTTTGGGGTCGTTAGAGCTCCGCAATAACTAGACTGGGGTGTGTGCAGTTGCTCCATCTTGCTATTAAAAGTGATACGTCTTCGGCGCACATTACAAATTGATGAAACTGCAGAACATACACACGTTCTGGGTTAAGTGCTGTCTACTGGATTATTTCTAGATTTGATTCACTCAATGTACGGCAATTTTTATGCTCTCGCAACGAGTTTCTGCTGAGAATTATAGTTTTTCCCACCTAATGGTTGTACGTAGGTATCACCTAAAACTAATCGAGGTAGATATRGGGTTATATATACTTGTATATATGTAAATAATCAGGGTAACGAGAAAAATTGAAATCCGGTTGACTTTCTGTCTGTCCGTACGTCCGTGCAAGCTGTAACTTGAGATATATTGATGAAACTTGGTGTGCAGAGTTTTTATAATAACAATAATACCGAACGATTACCCTCCTCCCGCCCAACCGACGGGAGATTCGCAATCCGCGAACGGGGTCATAAAAGGCAAGAGAGTTTTAATCATTATTGCTCACCTACAGAAACAAAAATTTCARCAGCCAAAATTAAGAATTAAAATTAAAGTTTATAATTTTTAAATGTTACTTGTTAAGAGTAGATAAAATATTTTCTTCAATGGTAAAGGGTGAGTTGTTAGATCAAATGTGCTCGAATGAGAATTGAAATCGAGACAAATGCGGCGGACTGGTTCGTTTAGCTCAAAATTTGTTCTAGAAAATTTTACAAGTATGGGTCTAAACTGCTTGGTAGTACAAAAAAAATCGAGTTCGTAGATCGGCGTAAACGGAACACTGCTTCGCCCATTAACCGAAAACCTATAAAGATCCATAACTAAGAACTAAATTAAAATATAAAACTCGTATTTGCCACAGGGGATCGCAGTAACAAGGGGCATCTGCGGATAGAAAATTTTGAAAAAGTGGGCGTGGCCCCCCCTCTATTAGAGAGTTTAATGTACATAACTCCTAAACCACTAAAGCTACAACAAACCAAATTCGCTCGGCACGAATATTACAAGAACTCCAGCCGACAGTGTTAAAATGGAAAAAATCGGATTAAAACTCCGTTCACTGCCCATATAACGGTATTGTTCAAAACTACTAAAAGCGTGATAAATCAATAACTAAATGCGGCTACCTAGCCTACTTTTTGGTGAAATTCTATATTTCGGGACTAGACTGACCAATTTCGACAAAATATGTATGTGGTACTTGTTTCAAATTTCTATGTCATGTTGTGAAAATTAGCAAAATCGGGTAACAACCACGCCTATTTCCCATATAACACAATTTTAAATTCCACTTGATTCYCTTACTTTCCRGTACACAAACCTCGCAATTAATATAACGGGATGAACTTTGCACGAATAATTCCTTTAGTGTAAGCCACCTTATGATCAAAAATTGTTCAAATCCAACAGAAACTGTTCAAGCCTATGGGTACCGAATATTTGGACCGCAGTACCTATAGTTGATTTTTGATCGAAAATATCGTTGAATGTGTGAGATATGTAATTGTGTTTCAGTGATAGTGMTTCTCTGGCAATGGTTTATCTGTATGTCCTAAATAGGTTGAATCGGACCAATACTTCCCTTAGCCCCCATATAACTAATATCAGAATTTTCGAACATTCGACTGACTTTATTCTATRTGATTAGTTTTTCAGTTTGTGGTATTGGGAAAAATATATAAAATCCGGTCAATACTACCCCAACTGTCATATACTCGTACTACATATAATGTTTTGTATTTTTTTTAACAAATATTATATGTCTGTCAGTATAGGAGTTATATATGGTGTATATATATATATAATTGCTTAGAATTCGATTCTCAGGTTGACGTTTTACACCATAAAATATTTYCCTGGCTTTGATTCTTGTAAGTTGCAAGAGTATAATATCAACCGAACATACACTACCTGACTTCTACTGTTTTACATTCTCGCTTATATCAAAATAGGCCTCATCAGACATAAATAAGCAATTTATCAAGTAATTGTCTTCTTCGACCATTTCAATCCATTTTTTGTAAAATTCCAGGCGAATAGTTAAATAAAGGTTTAAGTTAATACAAATTATCATTTGKAATGATTATGGCACTCGGTTAATGACGTTTTGTGGGCGTGGCAATGTGATTTTTTCGCCAAGGTTTAATATTATGGTGAAAAAATTTAAAATCGACCTTCTAATATAAAATCTTACTAAATTTATAAAACACATTATAAATCGGAGACGTGCGGGTGACATACTTTATTGCAATGTATAGTACTGTAGTAAGCTTTGGGATTCTTTCAAGAACTTCTTCTGCGTGACTTCAATGCCATAAAGCGTGTGCAGCAACGCTAGGCCGATCAATGAACCTTGATRTATGTTCGTCCTCAGCCACGTTTTCATGCGGTGAAGTGTCCCAAAGGAGCGTTCAGAGCTCCCACTCGTCACAGGAATTTTGCATAATATGCGAAACAAATTATGAGATATAGGTCCACATCGCAGTTTTTCAACGTTTCCAATGCAGTAGCCAGCAACTTGTTGTCTTTTGACTTTCGCCTGTGTCCCCAATGGCACTGCCTGTGATCAAGTTCACCTTTGAGCTTCAAACGTCGCCCGACCTTGTCGTTATCSAATATCCCTTCGAATCTATCTCTCAGCAGTTAATAGGATTTTCCATATCTTTGGTTTTCAAAGCATATACTTACTGGGGGTGTACGAAATTTCTCTCCTCTGGCTCCGCCACTGCATCAAATGATATCATATGAAATGAAATGATCAATTTCATAAATAAATCTTTTAATTAAAATTATATAAAAATGTGCGCTATTGAGCTGTTTTGTAAATAAGGTTTGTCTGGCAACCAAATGATTTGCGGCATATAACTACTTGAAAATACCATACTTAATTAAGTCAAGCTTATAATTTGAATGGGTGCTTTGAGCCAAGCCACTGCGAAGCGCACATCTAAAGTATATCTATCTACTAGCATGTTAGAAAATTTCCTGACCCTGTGGAAGTTATAAGTAAAAATAAAGTATCTTTAATTTTTCAAATTTACCATTTCAAGTGGTATAAGTTTTATTCCATCCTCATCATTTTATTAAATTACGTTCATGGTATTTCGTTATTATAATTATAATTTACAACTTATAGTACACAAAAATTAAACTATCCACTCAACTTTCGGCATTTATTTACTTTTAGTTATACTTTTTTTTATTTTTGTATGTTTGTTTATTTTAATAATACAGTAATAGATAAATATAAATGTAGTAATCGTAATCATGTTAATTGCAATATTTATTTTTATTTACGTATTTTAAATGTTTGATTTGTTCCAAACATGTACTTTTAAATGTAGTATGTACGAAGTTTTATTGTTTTAAGGAGCTTTCTCCACATTTAGCTATTTGTATAAATTACGTATACCTCTCATGCACCGCATTTTATTCGAGCCGTTACAAATATATATATATATATATTGAGTTTTGGCTCGCAGCCATATTATTTAATTTTTTATTCTTTACTGGGTCTGAATGCTTAATTTAAGATCACTAGTAATTTAGTCAAACAATAATTTTTACAGCTAATTTTATAATTATTATTTGTAAAAATTAATCAAAAACTGCAGAGTTGGCGTATGAGTATTTTTGAGACTTTAAATAAATATTATAAATTTGTGAATTAAAAAAAAAAATACTCCATAAATAAGAATATTTATGATTAATTTTGTAATTTTATAACAACGAGATGCTCGCAATGGGCCCAAATGGGCCAATGTTGGATACTTTTATTATACATACATACATACATACATACATACATACATAAATAAATATTTGCAAGCGCTCATGTATTATTGTTTCTCTTAACTAGCTTTCTCATAAATATTTTCTTTTTGTTTATGCCTCACAATCAGTTACTTTCAAATTACGTATATTTGTCCTTTAATTATTGCTACTTACTTTTATTCATTTAATAAAATAGAATAAATATTAAACTCCACAATAAACTTATCTTCCTTTGAGATTCATGAATCTATTAATATATATGTATATACACATATATTATATGTATAGTTTAGTAAATATTTTCATGAAAATGCAATCTTTTTTTTACGTATCTGGTTTCACAGTTTATTTATAYTATTTTTGTTTTTATGGATTTGTGTTTATGTATAATTTTAAAAATATTTAGTTATTTTCAATAAAATTATTTGCACTTACTCACTAATTACGTATACATTTTGTTGAAGGATTTTGTTGGGTTATGAAAAGTTGGCCCTCTTCGGTTCTAAAAGGTTTTTGTTTTTTACAAAATAACTTATTTATTATGCAAGTTAAATTCCTTAACTTACATTTTTAAGTACTATAGTATACTTTCAATGTATTCCATTTATATATTACATAACTGCATTTTCGACGAAGCTTCATGTTCTTGGCTGAGTTCTTGARTTGAAATATATTTTTAATTTGTTTAGTTGCTTTAATGACACAAAATTTTAGAAAATAAATCGGTTTACGATAATATAATATTTGATTTTAAATTGGGAATTATCGATGTTATAATCATAAATTCTATTATTTCGTTACTTAAAATGTGCTTTGTGATTTTGAAATGCTATAATTATGTCTAAGTATAAACATACATAAATCTTTCTAAATAAAAGTTACGAGCACWTATACTATTTTGCCAATCACTCAGTAAATAATGAAATTTTGATACACACATAATATTCATGACACAAACTTATTTTTCCTTTAATATTTCATTTGTCTTTTTCGTTTTGCAGTTATTTTCTTTGTTAAACATATTACTAAATCATCATATGCTACTACCAAAATATTGCACTTAAAATTAGTGAATTCTCCACATGGAACGGCAGGTGTCTACATTGCCGAAGTCCCATTAATATGTATATTTTAATTTAAGGGTTTGTATTACTATTTTTTTAAATAAGAAGAATAAAACAATTACTCAAAATTATCCACCGTGAATTATGGTTACTGGAGTTGTACTGATGTTTAACAACAAAAACATTAAAGTAGGCTATATTATACGAGATATTATTACGAGATCACAAATAAATAGACAATAAATATTGTATTTCTGTTTTGTGGTAATATCAGCTTTTACAGATACTGAAACCTTAATGTTAAAGGGATAAGGAAAATAGTTTCTAACAAATTTTTTTTTTTTTTTATGGCAAGGTATGCTGCTAAAATAGTTCCAATTAAAGAAAATTCGCTAAAGAAAAACTGAAACAAATTTTTTCGCTAAGAAATTTATCTAAGCAACTCTATTTCTTGACACCAAATAATTGATAGACACAACTAACACTTATATGATATTGTGATTTCCGATTTCATTTTAAGAGTATCTAAAAGGCTATATAGACGATAAAGTATGATAATAACTAAATTGGACAAAAATATGTTATTTTGCTTACTTGAGTAATGGCAATAATAATTTAAAATTCACATCAATAGAATACGTAACAAGCGTTTATATTTTGCAGCATTTGTTTGTACGCAGATTTAAATTTAGGGAATTACAAACATTGATTGAACATGCAAGCTATTATCAATAACAAACATTTAATAAGAAGACACATAAATATATTGAAGAAATAAATATATTAGTTGGCCGAGTCACATATAACATTTGTAAAATAAGATTTCCTCGACTTTGTATAGAATGTAGTATTTTTCGAAATTTTGCAAATAACAATAAAAAATTAGAAATTAAACATAACTTGAGAGCAACAATATAAGTGATCTACATCCGMATACATGCATATAAGGTCTCCGCGCTAAAATATAGAAATTCAGTAAGGCTTATGCGCACTACTCATTGCGGAATACTCGTAAATATTTCGGTTTAAAATAAAATTTAATCGATTATACTTAATGTTAGCATTGCCTAAACTATCGATAAAATTATTCGCATTTGCATTTGCCCTGTGGGAGAGTGCGTGATATGCGGGTGATGGAGATACGGACAATGATGGCGTGGACAAATGTAACGACATCGACATCGGCATCAAAGCTGACGATGATGTTGACATTATGCTATTGCAAATGGTTGCATGGGAACCCAGAGTTGGTGTTGTTGTTAGGCTTCTTTTTGCAGTTGTTAATAATGTATTGGATGTAAAGTTATTGTTAAAAATATTATTAGCATCAGGGTTATAGCTATTACAATTATTTTTGTAATATGAATAATTTGTAGTTGATTTTTCCTAGTTTTGATCGCCTATGTGTTGCGCTTGCGCCGCCGCTGCCGCCGCCGCTTGTGCTGCCGCCTTCTGCGCTTGCGCTTGTTTCTCTTGTTCGTTGAGTTCTTTAATGGCTTGAATTTCTTTTTTTAATTTCATTCGTCGATTTTGGAACCAGATTTTAATCTGTCGTTCGGTGAGGCAGAGTGCGTGCGCCATTTCGATTCTTCGACGGCGGGTCAGATAATGATTGGTGTGGAATTCTTTCTCCAATTCGAGCGTCTGATAGCGGGTATACGTTTGCCGGCCACGTCTTCGGAGGCCATTTGTACCTAAAAGGTAAAAATAAGAAAAAAAGTCAAAATCCTTAATTCWATACATATATGAAAAATAAAAAAGGAAAAAACATAGTTAGGGATRACTAAAACAGCGAGTAGGCATTTATGTATGTAGCAACGAAAAGTATAAAAATATAGTGTGWTAATATTTTGAATGGAAATAATCTATATACACGCATATGTATATGGAAACAATTTATATATTTTTATTCACACTGGTATTGTAAAATAACAAATAAAGCCCACGTAGGACATTAACTCTGATGTTCCGATTGTGTTGGTACGTGCATAGGTACGAGTATGAGTTTATAAGATTTGTTCTTCAATTTAGGTCAAAAGTATCTCGATCATTGTGCTCTAATGAAAAATCAGCTGGACGGCAATACATTAGTATGATGAAGCTACAGTCAGAGAATATATAAGATAATTGAGGTTTTCTGCTATAAGTTCTGGAATGATTGARTCTTATTGACCAATGTTCTTTATATTTGGAAAGCTTACATCTTCTTTAATTGAATATTAAATAATTCAAAACCCGAATTTGTTTTAGTTATGAACCTGAGCATGAGTACAAATTAATGAAAAATTCTCTAAATGCGGTTAGTTATAATATGTATAATGTAAGCAAATATATTTAGATATTAAGTATTATTATATATTTTATGGAGTTCACATTTTTTGGATATTTCGCTAAATTATAAAGAATATACATATCTTAAATTATTCATTTAACCTTATATGCTAGCTAAAACTGCTGAAATTCGGTTATTTTATTTGCATCATTACGGTATGAACAGGTAGCACACTGTGCATCCCGTGCGCACATATGTATACTCTCCTGTCTCTGATTGCCGTTAGTACCGTCAGTACAGCTCCCGGTTTTCTATCTGCAATCGCAATGCATCTTTGGCAGTTAATCTCTGATTTTAAATATTTATGAGATTTAATTTGCCTCAAGTGCAATAACTCAATTTCATAAATCGTCGTAGTCATCAACGTAAGGTATACTCTACTGTATATTACCCTTGCTACCATCAACTTGGATGCACATAGAAGTATATGTACATAGTATGTTGCTATACTACATAAAAGCATTTAACATAATAATAAAATTGTTCAAGCACACGCATTTACTCAACGCCGTGGATACCTTGCAACCTTACACAAACGTATCTCGTTCATTTACTGGCCTGATATTATATATGTACGTACAAAAGTTTGTACGTTTGTTTATATGTATTGCGTWTGCATCCATTCTGCAGCTCAACTGCATGGTGTGACGAGGATTCACGGGTCTATGTGCACGTCATTGTGTATAATATTGCACCAGTAACATCCAACTCAACCCTTTTACGCACAAACATGTTCAAGCACTCACAAAAAGCTTCTCATATTTATGTATGCGTGTTGACTGGTGTTGCGGTGTTTGTGAACGCATTCATTATGCGTGCATTATAAACTGGCCCTGAAGGCATTAACAAGTTTACGCCAACATGAATTGCAAGTTTGACTGGCTGCCGGTTTTGGTTGGCCGAGCATTTGCCATTTGCTTGCTTACAGATTATTTTTATTTTTTATGGTATTTAAATGGCGTTTAATAAATTATTTTAAAATGTATGGCAAACATAGTCAAGTGCATTAAAATTATTATATATACCTTTTTTTTAGAAGAACGACATACACTATAATAACAATTTATATTTATTTAAAATAAATATAACACTTTTGAAAAATTTATCCACTTTATATTTGTAAACTCAAATAATTAAATTTTTCCTTCCACGGTTTGCATTTTAAATACATACATGTATATGTATATGTATGTAGTGGATTTATAGAAAGTGTATTTGTTTCAAATGAAGAATTTAAAAAGAAGATAAGACATATTAAAAYTTATTCTTCATGAAAAAATGGATGAATGCGGAGAAATTAAGACATTTTTTTTTTTAAAAATGCCTTTGTACTAAACTAGTTTATTCGTACTGTTTTAGCATTCATTTAGGTTTCAGTTTTGTATTACACCATCAAAGTACTTCAAGCTTTTGAAAACAACTTTTTACAAATAATGTTTTATTACTTAAAAACAAAGTCGTATATAAAAACTTTAAATAATAAATTCATTAAATAGCTTTGCTAATCAACACAAATCACAAAAACGAATGAAATATTTCCAATGTATTCAAAACTTGTGCGAATGTACATATATAACACTATTGCCCAAATTTCAAAAAAATTACAAACGAATTCAGATCATCAAGGCATTTTAAAAATTTGCAATGCAAACAACTGGCTGAATAAATGCGATAAAAATGGCATGAATAAATAAAGTGGACAGGACAAGAAGTTTAAAAAAAAACTCAACAAATGCATCAACTCCTTAGTCGGCAGCCGAATTGATTGCCTTACTTTAAGTCTACACCGACAAGTTGTGTTCGTCTCATTTCGCTACCCTTTTCAATAGATCCTAAAGTTGACTGCTATTTTTTCACAAGTCCACAGCAGAACAATAGTTAAGGAATGGAAGTTAATGCTGAAAATGTGTGTATAAAATATGTAATGGCGAAAAGAGGGAAACGTCAAATACAAAGGATAGGCGGTAAAAAGAAAACTGAAAGAATTATGCACTAGCAAAGACTGTGAGGGCAAAAAACAACGCACAACAAAAAATGCTGAAACGAAACTTAAGAGAAGACGGTTGTGTCAACTGTGGCATAACTAAACTATGAAAATAAAAAAAATATTAGCCTCCCAAATCTAGAAGTGGTAAATGAAAGTTAATTGTTGGCGTCTTGACGTAATTAACGCCAACGTTAAAGGGAATGCGAGTTATAGATTTTTAAATGTTATAAAGCATACAATATTTGAGGTAAAAAATCAAAACATATAGATGCGCCTTAACATATGTTATACTCTTGTTTACCTTACTTCTTAACCATAAATATAATATAWTATATTACAAGCTCCGGTATACGAGTATATCACGCAGAGGTTTAAAAAACTTTCATTTTATTTATTTTAGAACAATAAAAAAACATAGAAGTTTTCCAACTCAGTCGTTTTACAAAGTTGCTACGTGCTTGTAGTACGCATCTGCTTCCTAAACCATCCATTCCATTTTCACACTTGTTCAAACCACCCTTACCTACTTTCAACATCCCCGGAGCACAGCGTAGCCAGCGGTTAAGAATGTACGTGTGCGTATGTTCTTCTCACAAATTTTAAATGGAATTTGTCACTATACTGGTTGGTACGGTAAGAAATTATTGGGTAAATGGTGACCGGGATGTACTATATATGCTGTGCTGCTGTCTGATTTTCTAGTATATGCAAAATATTTTACTTTTTTTTATTTTATTATTTTTCTTCCAYTACATTTTTTTGCTGTTGCGCACAACTTTAAATTTATTATGCGAAAAAGTGTGAAATTCATTTTTCCGCTTAAGCCGATGTGTGCGTATGTATACTTGAACGTGTCCTACCACTCTTCACAATGGCACCAAAGTCTCCTCTTTCGATGCAGATCTACGACTACACGTCTTCTAACTCGCTGTGCAATTCTTGTACTCCAAGTATGTAATTTAAATGGTTTAACTTAACATCGCAGGCAAACTTTAGATAATTTAGCGCGAAATGGCTGCCGCAGCGACAGCGTCACAAAGAAATTTAGAAGTTCAGTTTTACCAACGTTAGAGAGGAGGGAGAAGACAGGCCTACTGTTTACAGCGTTAGAAATCTTATAAAAATCGGTTACTAAATTTTGTTTTCTAAACTTTTTATTAGCAAATTTTTGGTGCTTTCCCTTACTAAACTTTTTTTCTTACTATTACATGCTATATATCGTTCTTGTTTCGCCACTGTACAACTTTATTAAGAGAAAATAACAGAAACCAGTATCTGCTATATTTATTGCCATTTCTTTGTTACACAAATTCATAGGGGATTCAAACTTTTGACGCTGGTTGGGTATTCCACTTTTGAGAATTTTGTTCTATGACTAAAATGTTATACTGCACTGCACTACAGTATCATTCTACTAAATTTTCAACGTTTCATAATTTGGTTTTGTCAAATGCGTTTTCAACTGGTGATTTGGGTTCTGATTTTATTCGGGTTTTGAGATATTGAAATGAGTAAAAATACACCAGTTTTTGTTTATGTCATTCAAATAAAAAAATATGTAGTTTATTTTTCTTTAATWGATAAGTAAATAAGTATAATTAACATTGCCATAAAAAAGACTGAACGAAATAATAACAATAAATAATGCCACTCATAGATGCATTCCAAGATTTTGATTTTGATCCGTGATATCAATGATTACCGAAAATATATATTTAACATGTGTATTCCAGATTTTGTCAAGAGGGCGATATTTTTCTTTCCATTTCGGCAATAGTGATATTACTAATTGAAAATCTATAAGCCATTCCAACCTGTTAATATTTTGGAATCGACATGTCTTTAAAATTAGGGTGAGTTTTTCAAATTTCGTGGCTTTGGGTACACAGCTTATCCAACGCTTACATTCAATCGAGAAGATTCGGCGCTATAACATCACCAAGAATCTGTTGAACATTTTATATTCTTCCAACATGTTGCTAAAGAGTATGATACATAGTTTTGTTCACCCAATGTTTGTTTTTATCACTTAAAAATTATCGAGTTGTACAAGGTGTTTTCCAAAGTAAACAGGACTWATTGAATCTAGCCCAATCTATATGTCGACTGAGCCCTTAGAGTCTGCTATCTTTATCGATTGTCCAGTGAGAATTTAATGACATTTCATTRATAGGAAGTGAAATGATTGCGTTTTAAGTGTCAGTATGTTTAGGTTATTGGTTCGAAAATGAGCTTCGAACAAAGAGCCAACATTAAATTTTGTTTTAAAATTGGTAAAACTTTTACCGAAAAGTTTCAATTGATGAAACAAGTTTATCCCGTAGCAGAATTCACGAGTGGTTTCAACGTTTTCAAAGTGGTCGTGMGGACATAAA